GTGTGTGTGTGTGTGTGTGTGTGTGTGTGTGTGTGTGTGTGTGTGTGCGTGCGAACAGAAAGGCTTGTCTCAAGGGAGTCATAAGCCGTCATTGCGAGAGTAAAAAAAAGATCAGAACAAATGATTTAGAATAACTAAAAGGGTAATTTGGCTAATGTTGTAATTTTACAGACCATCAGAGAGGATGCACATATGCAGACTGTAATTAATCAGAGTTTGCCGTTGTGGGTCTACAGTCATGCCGAGAAACAGTGCGTGGCTGCTGGATCCAACTGAACTCATCAGACCGTCACCATTATATGAAACAGGCGGTCGACTCACTGCAGTGTTGGAGTTAAGCTACAGAGATACAGCTGATGATATTCTTTTACAAATATGGACTCTTTATGTTTAATGTATAAGGAGGAATTCATAAAAATATATTTCTTTCACCAGTGTTTTACAACAACCTTTTACTAATGTATACATCATTTAAATGTTAGAATTCACACTCCATTGAACTCTTCTTTGGTTTGGTCATAAAACAAAGAGTGAGAACATTAATAAAGATCGATAGAGCCCTCAATATGAAGTTTATACTGTAAGCAGTGATGAAAAGTAACTAAGTACATTTACTTTAAGTCCTTTACTTAAGTCAATTATTTGATTACTTCTTCCACCACTGACGTTACAAAATGATTGGTTCACCAATATAAAAAGCCAAAGCTGTTTAAACATAAAGCATTGCTGTGAATGAGTAAATAGATTGTGTTGATTTTAATTGCCACAGTCAGCTTCATACATGAAACAGCACAGCATTCACTGTATAACAGCGGCTTGGTGCAGCACGTTGACATATATATCCTGTCTTTCTTTCTTTGTGTTTATCCAGCTTGTTATTTTCTGTTTTCTGATATTTTCTCGTAATTGACTTCCTGATCAACTTTACAGGAGTAAAGTGGCATCCAGATGAACATGGCGTCATTGGCTTTGACTCTAGAAACAGGAAGTGGTAAGCCTTTTACATACCTGACTAAATGTACTGCTCTTTGTTCTGCATCTCATCTTCTCTAAAAAAACATGTCTTTTTCTATTCTGCAACAAGGTATCAAGATGTGTAATTTAACATATTTCAGGTACATCCAGGCAGCAACGTCTCCTAAGGATGTTGTTATCTTAGTCGATGTTAGTGGAAGCATGAAAGGACTGAGGCTGACCATCGCCAGGCAGACTGTCTCCTCCATTTTAGATACACTTGGAGATGACGACTTCTTCAACATCATTGCAGTAAGTTTTTTTTTAACCTTTTCTCAGTTTGATTCTGTACATGTTTGTATCTTTGTTCGTTAATATTGTGCATCTCTATGTTCTTTGTAATCTCATTCTAATGCTGTATATTAATACTATTTACCAAAGACATATCTGTTAAGACTTTCAGATAACTGGAGCTCATTCTTCCATGAACAAATACTAATCCATCTGAATGTTGTTTGCATTTCCACAGTATAATCAGGAGATCCACTATGTGGAGCCTTGTTTGAATGGCACACTGGTCCGAGCTGACAGAACCAATAAAGATGTGAGTGGAGCGCAAACTGAAATGTAATGAGTATATATGTGGATCGTATCAGGTTGAATTTGTGTGGTTTAATATTTGAAACCTGTCTTTTCCACTTCTGTCGCTATCTATTAGCATTTCCGTGAACATCTGGACAAGCTGTTTGCCAAAGGGATCGGGCTGCTGGGTGACGCTCTGGCCGAAGCATTCACAATCCTGAATGATGTGAGTTCCAGTGTAAACCGCTCTGTGTCTGTGACTGTCACTTTAAACACAAATCTTCTATATTCCACTGAAATCTTTTATCCCAAAGCAGATCAACTAAATTCTTTTTTACGTATTATGTGACATTGATTTTCAGTATTCATGAGTTTTCACAAAATTATTAACTGATTAATTAATTGATTAATTTGACATAAAAATAATGAATTTGTGTTCAGCCATCACAAAGGCACTTTGTTTTCATTTAAGTGAAGGACTCCACTTGACCAGAACATTAGGAAAACTTTCGTTTTACAAGCCACATTTGTTTTCAGTGACAGGAAGTGTTCGAGTACAACCCTCTGCTTGTTCTCTGCTAATCATAAAAAAGTAGCACACTCCAGTCAAATATATTTGAGTGTTTGGGAGGTGTGTCGCCTGTCGAAACGCTCCAGCGCCATCCCTGTTCCGCCCTCCAAACACAGACACATCCATTCTGAATCGTGATTAATGGCTCTAATTAATGTCGATGATTAATAACGTGGCTGATTGGAACACAAAGCAGATAAGGCCAGGAGCCGCACTCCTTTTATCTCCCTGTTTTCAGGCGGCTGCGCTGCTGAAGCTGAGGGACTGCAGCTTTTACCTCTGCATTTGTCAGATTAATTAAAGCCCTGCAATGAATATGGTAATCAGGTAGCCAGTAGCCCACAACTGAAATTCATTGTTACACCACTTCCCGGTGAATTAAGTCAGAACACAGCTTATCGTAGACCAAATCAAAAAGAAACTCGCTTCACTTGAAGAGCACTGCACCATTTTCATAGGAGCAGTGTTGAGATAAAGAGAAGCTCAGTCTCCCCCCTCACCGGCCGATGATACGAAAGAATCACAAAACAGCAAGCATCTAATTCAACATATTAGCATATTTTAACTCATCTCCTTGTTGGATGACTTTACAACAAGATCATTAATTTACCTTTCAAACAACTAGGGTGTGGGATTGATTAGATTTTATCAGCATCAATTACTTAATGATCCCTGTCATTGATTATGTCCTTTATCATTAACATTTAGATTCACTATTCCTTATTTACTTACAGTACTGAAACAAAGGGCATAATACTCAAACAAAGGCTAAAGGACAGATGCTCTGCAGCAGATGGTGCAGAGAGTCTTCAATAACGACTTTTGACATTTTCGCTGAAAATGCTCCTCTGGCTCAGTGAATGAAGGGTCCATGACCATGTGAGAGATTTATTAGAACACGTAATTTATTAAACTCAACGTCACAAAAAATTAGGATGTTCACATCAGTAATAAAGGCATGCATTTCTGTGTAGGGCATGTGTTATGCAGGTGTGCATAAGGAAAAGAACCAGACGCAGCTGAGGGAAGAGAGAAAAGGAAGAACTTAAGCCCATGAAAGTCCAGATGAACCAGATGAGCAGTCGACCCTCCAACGTCGGCCAGTTGCCTCCTGAGCTTGACGAGGAGAGCCCACAGGCTCAGGGACTTAACATACTGGGACAACTTTTTTCATCACATGTCAAAAGCACAGGTGTAAATAATAGAATTAATGATGGCTGGAATCCACTTAGCTGCTTCAGTTTCAGGGTCCTTGTATTGTGCATGCTGGCTCACTGTCACTGCTTGGACACTGAATGGAACAGAGCCAACGTTAATGTTATTAATAACACATGTGCTCTTCCTACTATGACAAGTCAAAATGGTTCCTGTGAAAAAAGTCTATGATGAGCAACCAAATTAATATTTCATGACTTACTTTAGAGCTGATTTCCTATTATTGAACATGAAAACTATAGATAACAATCAAACGTTTTCTAATATAAGACTTTTTTTGTCACTCACATACAAGTGGCCAACCAATGCAAACTTTTAAGACACAAAAATTATAAATACTGTTGCAGTGATGGAACAGTCGGACATTCCCATAACTTTTTATATTACAAGACTTCACACTTTATAACAACAACAGCTGTTCTGAAGGCATCCTGTGATTTAAGAGTAGCGGTGCTCAGCAGGTTTCATCCTGTAACCGCGTCACTACATCCTTTTTCTCTCCACATTCATTCTGTTACAGGTCAATAAACCACTTAATTACTGCGATGCATCTTCTGGGATCAGAACAAAGTTTACCGCATTCCTCAGGTTTATTTACCAAGACATTATCTATTGACTGATGGCTGCACAGCTGCCATATCAGACATTATCATCGGTGGAAATGGACAGCTCTGTTTGTTTAATGTTTAAATAACACATATATTATTTGGGTTTTAAATTTATATTTTTTCTCTCATTTTGCAGTTTAATCAAACTGGACATGGCAGTTTGTGCAGCCAGGCCATAATGCTTGTGACTGACGGGGCGACTGAAATGTACGACGATGTTTTTGAGAAGTACAATTGGCCAGAAAGAAAGGTGAGCACTTTATTTCTTCTCCTCTCTCTTCTGTTCCTCACAGTGCCTAATCTTCAATGTCATTTGTTTCCTTTTTCCAGAATAATCTGCTTGCCCTTTGGTTTTCTTCCAGCGGGGATAGATGTACATTTTAATACTTTATGCCAGCTGGACCTCCTGTCTTGACGTTCTGAGGAATTGTTTTCTTTACTTCATTACCACCCATAGCTCTGTAATGTACAGTCCATGTCAATATGCTGGCTTTCAACGTATTGACGCATTACAGCATAATGTTTCCCCCCACGAGAAATAAAACATTGGAAATTAACTGCTTTCAAGGGCAGAGTATGTGCAGTGCAAACAGCTCAGTCTCAAAGGCTCTGGTCTTCGTCCCCCCACCGCTGTGCCTTCCCCATGTTTCTTCCTGGAATCAACGATGGGTTTAAAATCTTTTGTTAGCCTCCCTTTGTAAGACCTAAATGCAGTTGAAATGAAATGGACTGCTGTGCCACTCACAAAGCAATAAAAACAACAGCTCCAGGGCTTTTGTTCAGTCCTAAGCATATGTGTGTTGGCAGTGTTTGGCAGGGTGCAGGGCAGTATTTGGCAGGGTACCCCATCCCCCCCCCCCATACACCCTCAGGGCCGCTATATGGCAGCCATTCAGTGTTTTCTATATGCTTCATGCTTAGCAAAGCATCTGGAGCCAATGAGCCATGCAGGTTTGGCAAAATGTCACACTGCGTTCTTTAAAAGGACAGTGGATTATGCCCTCATGCCAAACCCCCAACAAAAGACAATTAACAGAATGTAACTGCACTGAGAGTACAAACTGAAAAATAATCCCCAAATAACTGTTAAAAAAACTGACAAAGATGGACTGAAAAAAGTTAAAGGATGAAAAGAAAGAGCTGTAATAGCAGCTTAATGCTCAGTGTTTCGTCATGAGGATGTGAAAGCATGCAGCTACTTCTTGCTCCGACGCCTGATAGAATCAGGACAGGAAGATAAAGTACTAAGGAGACACATCACTTTGCGTGTTCTTTTTTAAAAATCCTTCCATCTTTGAAACTCTCGACATCTATGTGTCCTCTGTACAGGTGCGAATATTCCCGTACCTGATTGGACGAGAGTCTGCATTCGCTGATAACCTCAAATGGATGGCGTGTGCCAACAAAGGTTTGGGACCTTTTGATAAACGCTTCTCGAGACAGCTTCTTGTCAGAGTGTGGAGTACAGGCTGATGTGGTGTTTCTGTGGAGGATGTGTGGGTGTACGTGTAGTTTGGCTGTGGACGTAAATGTTACGTGTGTTTTTCGTGTGTGCATGCATGTGTATGTGCTGGCTCAGACTCTTTCTGCCAAGAGGCAATGAAGTGGCACTCGGGGAGGGTCAGAGGTCAATCTGCTCTAATCCCTCTTCCTGTCAGAGTGTCTCCCTCTTGGCTGCTCGCCGCTGATGGCCCCTGTGTGTCAACGCTCTGGATGAGTGCCCTCTGGAAAGGAGAGTAACAGTCGGGAAAAATGATCACAGAGGGATTGTGGGGAGACAAGCCCCAAACATCCTCCCCACTGTGGAATGACCTTACCTGTCCAATATGAAGCATTGACAGCAACAGCAGGAGCTGACACAAGTCAAAACGCTCCTGTGTCAGTGCAAAGTGAACCACTTGAAACCTGTTTCCAGGGTGGTTCAGCACAGCGCAGTAATGTCAGGGACATCAGCAGAAAATTACACCATTTTGTAAAGGGGTAAAGGGTGCATTTGGGAAACTAGGACACAAGACTTCAGTACTTCTAAAATCCTTTGTGCAGCGCTGTTTTCTGAAAGTACTTTTATTTAAGTTCCAGATGCAGGACCAAACATTGCTGATCCAATACTTCTTTCACCACTGCATAACATTTTTTTTTCTTTAAGGTCTAGTCTCAAATAGTCCAATTACATGTAGGATTACACATTGTGAAAGATGTAAATGCTGTCTCTCATTTTAGGTTAATATATGTGTGCATTTAATTGCAGGTTATTTCAGTCAGATCTCGACCTTAGCAGATGTTCAGGAGAACGTGATGAGGTATCTTCACGTCATGAGCCGCCCAAAGGTTATTGACCACGAGCACGACACAGTGTGGACTGAAGCTTACATGGACAGTGCTGTGAGTGTGTTACGGCGCTAGTTATGAGTCCTCATTCCAAATTTACATTTGTGTATGAGTGCGACTGCATGTGTGTCTGTACAGTGCAGCAACATCCTTTGATTACACCTTTTGAGGCTGTTGTCTGTGTTATTTGCAGGATTCACGTTATTTTCTGCATCCCTGTACCGTACGGTAGATGTGCATATGTGTTGTTCTGCATTCTCATCATTACTCTTTATGCTGCTGGAATAATTCCTCATTATGAGCTTCATTAATCTGTATGGACCCCCCCCCCCCTCCTTACATCTGAGTCCATAAAGTCAATGCAGAATGTGAAGGCTTTAATCCTCTGAATGATTTAATCTTTATGCGTCTTTTCTTTCATTTCAGCTTTCCCAGGCTCATAAGGTAAATATATAGATGTGATCTGATCTGATCTTTACGTTCTCTTAGCTAGAATCATATTTGTCAGAAACATAATTTATCTCTTGTCTTATCATTAAATAATCGACCAGATGCTGTAGGAAGTAGCTCTGAACAAGCATTACAAAGGAGATCACATGCAGGTTATAAAAGGTTTCCCCTGCGACTCAAATTTTTGCCATGTTGTTTAAAGTAGAAGTGCCTGAGGGGAACTTCCGAGGTTAAATGGTTGCTTATAGTCCCTACTTTAAGATCTCTTAGGAAGTCAAAAGTGAGGAGATGCTCTTCTTCTCTGGGGGGGCAGGAGCAGTAAATGAGCATTTATTGTACTTCTATCCAGTACGGAGCTTGTGAGCATGCACACACCAAACACACACTAAAACACGTACACACACAGACACACACTCACACACACACACACACACACAGAAGGGTTAGGAGATTGTCCTCTGGAGTGTGTGCTCTTGTATCTCAGCCTCAGACACACCATTCATCATTCTGTGGATCATTGCATTTTATCTCCTAAAGCCCATAATAAAACTGACATTGGAGGGGAGACCAAGAAAGAGAGAGAGAAAAGGGAAAAGGAGAGGGGGGGGGTGTTGGAGTGCTTGGCCTTACCTGTGTGTGTGTGTGTGTGTGTGTGTGTGTGTGTGTGTGTGTGTGTGT